GGGTCTTGGGATTTATTTCCACCTACCCTGCCTTCCTTTAAAACTTAAAAATGTGCACACTCACTGGAGAGAACTCAACTCCCCTCCATTGCGTGCATTGCCTGTGTCCTAAAAGCCGGGCCTGCTGGCCTTTGTCTCTTAATAGGGCGTTTAATTACCTTTATTGCCATAACTGTACGTTTGTCTTACTGCTGTCGTCTTGCTTTATGCTGTCAATTTCTGCTGTCTCCATGTTGTGTCCCGCCGCCTTTGTCTTTTGCAATAGGCAATATGTCTTCTTTGTTTTAATTTTCTGCTGGGACGCAGAAAGTGGACGAGCGGCTTCTCATTCTATTTGTGGACGCTCTTCGGTCTTTCTTCGGCGTGTTTGAAATCCTAGTCTCTCGAGTGACGTTCCTCAGGAAGCATGCAGTCAACGGTGCAGCAAGGGCCTGCGTGTGCATCCCCGCTCCAGCACTTGCAAGTGGGGAGCACCTTGACCCAGTGAGTTCCCTCTCCAAGCTCCAGTCGGGCTGGCTCCTAGCATGAATTCCTTGGCCAAGTGCAAGGCTGCAATGAGGGAGCACTTATAAAATGCTCTTGCCGCGCTATGCTTTTCCATAAAGGAGACAATCCAGAGGTGAATGTCTGGGAGACAAGACCTGGCACCCCTAAGAAGCTGCCTCTGCACTACCTGGAAACCTTTCTCAGGAAGTTTCTGATTTTAACCTGTGGATCCTCTGGGTCCTCTGTATTCCAGACTGGTCATGGTTGACTGCTGTTGAGTGGATCAGATGGTTGGGATCCATAAGGTTTTCAATGGCTTTCAGAAGTAGATCTCCAGGTCTTTCTGCCTCCTCCAAAAAACCCAAACTCACTTCCATCAGGTGATTCTGACTATAGGACAGAGCCAAACCGCCCCTGTGGGTTCTGAGGCTCACTCAGTTGTAATCGACTCGTTGGTGATGGGTTGAATGAGCCTCAAGTAATGAGGCTCAAGTAACGTTATTTCTGAAAAGGCAAACTTAAATCAAACTGGTATCAATTAAACGTCTGTCTTCCTCGCCTGTCACCATCCGGAAGCTCTGTTGGGCCCTGTTCAGCATCACGGTGACATGCACACGGCTCATGATAGACGGTGGCTGGGCATGAGGCACACTGCTGGAAATGGAACCTGGGGTCCCAGCGCCTGCTGGGAAGGTGAGAATTCTCCCGCTGCTCTGTCAACTTGAGATTAGGGGTTGGCGGACAACAGCCCTTGGGCTGGCTCCGGCCTGGCCATTGGTGTGGGGTCTCAGACTCCTTCCCTTGTGGAGGGCCGAGCTGAGTAGAGACCTTACCGTGGCAGCACTGAAAATACCTGTCCTTTTAGAAGAAAGGACGGCGACCCCTGCTCGACAGCCCCCGCATCATCACCCTTCTTCCTAAATTGAGGAGATGCAGCCATTTCCGCTTGTCCCCTGACAGCCTCTCCAGCTAAGTGGCTCTGAGCATCCACGAAAGGATGGTCTTTACAAGACCATTAGCCTCTGCAATTAATTGCCCACAAGGTGGGGACACTTCATCAAAACAAAAGCAGAAAGCACGGAGAAGACAAAGATGCTGATGACTCAGCACGCAGCTCTAAGGTTTGCACATGGGGCGGGGGAGGGTTGGGCAGAGAGGGGCAGGCTCCCCAGGGGTTCTCCATCCTGGGGCCCCTGGGTGCTACAAAGAGGCTTGGCTGCTACGCCAAAGCTTGGAAGTTTGAGTCTGCCCAGAAGTACCTCAAAAGAGAGGTTTGACCATCTTCTTCCCGACAGTCATGGGGACTCTGTGGTGAGCAGACTGCTCTGACCCCGTGGGGGGTGGGGGGTCCCTCCGAGTCAGAACTGACTCCATGGAAACCGCCCCACCCACCCACCCACCTACCCTCAGTGGCACATGGCTCTCATTTCCCCTGGGTGGTGCTGCTCCCGGAGAACCAGGCAGGCAGCAAATGCCCGTCAGTCTGTGGGCACATCCTGTGCCAAGCCAGAGTCTCACACAGGCTGCCCCTTATTTCCGGTAGTCCACTGCCCCCAGACCTACTGTGCTTCCCCTTCTAGGGGCAGAATGAACACCACAATTTTAATTTTTCAGCTAGGACATTTAATTTCATTCCATTTCCCTCATACGAGGAACTCATGATAGCGGCTCTCAGATCCACGATGAGAGATGGGCTCCTCTCTCGCTCACTCTCAGACGACCATGGGGGCTTCACTGCGCCTGTTGACCTAGGCAGGTGCTGACCCTGGAGGGCAGGAGGTGAAGAGACAATGACCCCGGAGGGCAGGGTCCGCTCCGACAGGACTGAGCCCCTGTAGATCTAGTTCAGGGGCACCAGAGACTTAGACCTTGGCCCTTGAAGGTCGACAATGTGGGTGGGGAGAGAGGTGAAGACAAAGGGTAGCGCTGCCAGGAAACCCGGACAAAGCAGTGTCTTTGCGGCCCCAGGTGTGCCCCTGGAGAACTGCGTCCCACGGCCCCAGGTGTGCCCCTGGAGAACTGCGTCCCACGGCCCCAGGTGTGCCCCTGGAGAACTGCGTCCCACCGAGTTTCCCTGGCTGCTCTCTGGGTAGACTGGCCTTGCCAACCTCTCAGCCACACCAGGACTCCCGTAAGGACAGGACACGTCTTGGCCCTGGTGGCCCCCAGCACCTACAGGCACCAGCAGAGCGGAGGCTGGGGGAAGTAGCAGCAAAGACACCATGGACCAGGTGGACTGACGGGAGGAAAGCCAAGGAGATCGGAGGGGAATGGCCAGTGCAAGGACAGACTGAGGGGGGGGCTCCGGAAGGACAGGTGACGAGATGCAAACCAGCCTGACTGTCCATCCTCCGGACGCTGGAGCCTGGAGGCTGCCACGCATGGTCACCTCGCTGCATCTGCAAACAGTCCGCCAGATAAGCTTGAGCACCCTGGCAGCTGATGAGGGAGCTGAGGCTCAGGGAGTGACACAACCTATCGGTTCTACAGCAGGGAAGCCTGGTGCCTCCTGAGGTGACTGACGACTCAGGTGTTCTGCTCCCCAGAGAGCAGACAGAGCAGGCTGTGTGGACCTCCTGATGGGAGCCTTGGAGAACCGAAGGAAAAGCTATTCTTCTCTTTGCACGGGCCGGGAAGACACCCGGATGGACTGGAAGCGAATCGCTTGCAGAACATATGGATTGATTGGTTGGCCTGATGATGGGGTGGCTAAAACCATCTTGAAATCATGCTCGCAGCAAGTCCTCACGGAGCACGACTTCCAGGCTCGGCACTGTGTGACGTGCTATTTGTGGGCAGGGCAGTCTTGTGAAGAAAGCACCGGCCTTGAACCTGAATTATTGAGATGGGGAAACTGAGGCCCGGAGAGGTCAAGTCCCTGGCCCAGAGTGACTCAGCTGGTGAATCACATGGTAGGGATGGCTGTGGTCAGGCCCTGCACCACTCTGCTTCTTCTGGGGGAGGCTCTAGCCTAGATCCTGCTGCAGTAAGGGGGCTGAGCCTAGCAAGGGTTGGGAGGATGGCATCGAACCGGGCACAGTGTGTCCTTGTGTTGTACACAGGGTCGTATGCGTTGAATGACTTGATGGCATCTAACAACAGCAATGCCTCGCTCATTCATTCACCCATGATCCATCACCCGGTGTTTACCAAACATTGTCCCCAGTGCCGAAGCACATGCTAATTGGGGGAT